CTGTATGTCTTTTTCCTTGTTCTGGCCTCGAGGTACGAAGCAACCAGTTACCTACCATTGTGATGAGCATGGGTCCTATAGGCCTGTACATCCGGAAGCGGCACAGTGACTTATATAGAACAGGACTCCCCCGGGGCTGGCACCCTGAGGGAAGGTAACGTGCCAAGGACACACTTAGTGTTTACCGAGGGCTGACAGTCAACAGGAAACTGGTTTCAGATGATTTATGAGTCACTCATAAACCCAGGTCTCCACCCAGCATGTGTTTACTCTTGCCATCTGCACCCCTAATGTTTGTTTGCCCTGGACATGAAGGAACAGGGGGGAAGAGAAGCCCTTCGCTGTGCCTTCCCCTCTGCTGGGTGCATGGCGAGGCACATGATATACATCTTATTTGATTTCACAGAGCCAGGCAGTGATGCTGGACTTCAGAAGCAACACAATAGTTCAATGGGTCAGCCCCAGCCCCAAGGGCGCCCTTAGGGGCCGCTCTGAAGGCGCAGATGGGCCCCCTGTGGAATCAGACAGAGGCACTGCAGCCCTGGTTCCCTCGATGAGCCACTTGTGCTCAAGCAGCTTGAACTCTCCATAAGCTTCTTGAATCGGAAGCCTTTGCTCTGCCACAGCGAGCAAGCCTTCTCCTTGTTCAGCAATGCTCTTCAAAAGCAACTGCTCGCCCTCATTCTGCCCAGGGTGGCTTTGGGGAACGGCAGTAAGCAGAGCCTCCTGATTTTTGTAAGGGCTCACCATGTGCGTGAGTCGGCTTGGGTTACCTTAACAAAATACCACAGCCTGGTCCGCTTCAACAGTAGAAATGGATTTCCTCACAGTCCCGGAGGCCAGAGTGTGAGATCCAGGTGTTGGCAGGGCTGGTTTCTTCTGAGGTCTTTCTCCTTAACTTGCAGATGGCCACCTTCTCCCTGGTCTTTCCAGGATCTCCCCTCTGTGTGCATCTGTGTCCCGTCTCCTGTCTCCTGAGGAGCCCAGTCATTTTGAGCTAGAGCCCAAACTAACGGCCTCGCTTTAACTTAATTATCTCCTGAAAGGCACCATCTCCAATACAGTCACATTTTGAAGTACTGGGGGCTAGGATTTCCACATACGGATTTAGGGGGACACAATTCAGTCTATGACACCATTTTATCTCGCTTTAGTCCAGGGTGCAATGTCAGTCCTGTGAGGGGCAGCGACTATGAGCAGAAGCAATGAGGTCTCGCTGGAGCCATCAGCAGTGGGCTTTTGGGTGACTTATCTGGCCTTGTGGCCACCAAGTCTGTCTCTGGCCTTCCACAAAGCCTGTGAGCTGACTGCCATCTTTCATAAACTGCTTTCCTGCTCACACAGGGCAGGTCCTGTGGTTCACGAATAAGAACTCTGTGACCAAGGCAGTGCCCATAACTAATTCCTGAGCGTGTCCTTCCCAGTGACTGACACGGTGCCCGGGACAGTGCAGCCATGCAGAACAGGAGCATGCTGGTTCAATGCAGGCATCCACACTGCCAATCAGTGCCATAGCTCGGAAGAGCTCCTCTGCCACTCACAAGGTGCTGGCAGGAAGGCTGTCCCTACCTGCCCTCCCCTCAGCTCCAGGAGCGAGAACTGGGGCTTGTGATAGGGGAGGGATGCTGGGCACAGGTTAGGGTGCTGCCTGTAAGGACTGGGAAGAAAAACAAAACGAGCAGCATTCTCCAGAGAAGTTGCAACCAGCTTCGTCCAAACATGTCGATGTTGATGCTGTTTCAATTTTCATCTTAATGAACAAGGCTTATTGCTTTAGTTATTTGTTTACTTGTTTGTTTGTTTATTTATGGCACACAGGCACGCACACACCCCCACCATACGTGTAAGCAAAAAAGAGAGAGCCAAGATACACAAAAGAAAAAATGCTGTGATTGTACTGTGTCCCAAGAGATCCACTGTCAGCATTTTGTAGGTTTCTAGGTATATTTTCATTTAGGAGAGACAAAAACCATAGGCACTTTTTCTCAACATGGGACATTGTTCCTCACGTTATACATAGGATATAGCACATTGTTATACAATCTGCTTTGTTCATTTAGCAATGCTATGACCATCGCTAAATATAGGTCTGATCACTATTTAATGGCTACATTTTATTACATAACCTGGCTAAGCCCTCATTTATTTGATCAATTGTTTCTTGTTCAGCATCCAAGCTGTTTCTGAATTTTTTAAATTAGGAATTTTATTCTTTAGAAGAGAGGCCCGGTGCATGACATTCGTGCACTTGGGGGGGGGGGGTCCCTTAGCCCGGCCTGTGCCCTTTTGCAGTCTGGGAGCCCTCGGGGGATGTCCAGGAGTGGGCCTAAGCCACAGTCAGACATCCTTAGCCCTGCCAGGGAGGCGGGCGGCTGTGCTTGCCAGCCCCATCAGCCCTGCTTGTGGCTGATCAGTGCTCCCCCTTTGGGAGTGCACTGACCACCAGAGGGCAGCTCCTGCATTGAGTGTCTGTCCCCTGGTGGTCAGTGTGTGTCATAGTGACCGGATGTTCCTCTGTTTGGTCGATTTGCATATTACCCTTTTATTATATAGTATAAAATTTTCCCCACACAATGCTAATTTCCTTAGGATAAATTTGTAGAGATAGAATTTCTAGGTAAAAGGTATTATTTCATTATGTGCTAATCTGATCAGTGAGGAATGTTATTTTGTTTTAATTTACTTTTCTTGAGGGTTTGGCAAGACTAGACATTTCTTTTTGTAAGTTTTTTATTGTTGTTAATACTCACCCAAGGATATTTTTCCACTGACTTTTAGAGAGACTGGAAGGGAGAGGGAGAGACAGGGAGAAACATAAATATGAGAGAGACACATAGGTTGGTTGCCTCCTGCACAAACCCTGACCAGGGCTGGGGGAACCTGCAACTAAGGTACATGCCCTTGACCAGAATCAAACCCGGGACCCTTCAGTCCTCAGGCCAACACTCTACCCACTAAGCCAAACCAGCTAGAGCTGTAAGTTTGTTTCTTTTTTAATATATTTTTATTGATTTCAAAGAGGAAGGGAGAGGGAGAAAGAGAGCAACATCCATGGGCTGTGTCCTGCATGGCCCCAGCTGGGGATCAAGCCCGAAACCTGGGCATGTGCCCCAACCGGGAATGGAACCGTGATCTCCTGGTTCATGGGTTGATGCTCAACCACTGAGCCACACCGGTCAGGCTAAAATTGCTTTCTTTAATAAGCCCCATTCTCACCTGTCTCCCAGCCTCTCTTTCCTCTCACTAGAACGCATGCTTGTTGAAACACAGTTCTCAGTGTGCCACACACTGTTCTGCATCTTGCTTTCTTCTCTTAGTGGTCTATTCTTTCTCACGGCTGCCTAATATCTTACTGCATAGATGTACCGTAATCTAGATAAACAATCTCCTATCAATGAGAGGGTTATTTAAGTTGATTCCAAGTTTACTGTTACTGATACAGAAGACCGGAAAAGAGAGATGGAATTACATTTATTATTATTATTACACGTGAGCCCAGAGAAAAATGTCTCTAGAATTCTGGGCAAAGTCACACAGGAAGTTCCCTGTGTTTATACCTTTTTACCCTCTTTGTCTCCCAAATATGGGATTTTCTGGTCCTCTTTGCAAGTTCTTAAAGAGCCCCTATGTGCTGGGGCTTTGAGACCTCAACCAAAGGCTTGGCCTGGTGCCAGCACTGATAACTTCATCTGGAGAAGGTTGAATGGCCTCTCTGAAATGGGAGTAGTCTTATTTTCCTTGTTACTTAAGCCAGCAAGCATCTACAGAAGCCAAAATAGCAGGGTTAAAATTTCAAACAGCAGTTTTTATATAAGATGGATGCTTCATTACCAACCATGCTGCTCAAATATGTGTTCACATGCCTTTGAGCCCCATTCCCCATTTTCAAAGAACTTTTATCTTGCCCTGGTGTTTAGAGCAACTTCCTGATCCACTAAGGTTGCAGGCTCAATCCCCTGTCAGGGCACAAGACTCAACCAATAAATGCACAAATAAGTGGAACAACAAATTGATGTTTCTCTCCCTCTTCCTTTCTAAAAAATCTACAAATTAAATCTACAAATTAAAAATTTTTTAATATTTTTATCTTAAAATAATTTGACTCACAAGAAGTTGCAAAAATAGTGCAGAGTTCCTGTGTACCCATCTTCTGCAATGATAACATCTTAAACAACTGTAGTTTTTTCAAAATCAAGAAAATGGCACTAGTAAAATAGTGCAACACTAAGTCTAAACTGTAGACTTTATTCTGATTTCATCAGTTTTGTCTGTGTTTTAAAATCTGCCCCTAAAGACATGGAAAGGAGAGAAAAAGAGAGACAGGAAGGGAGAGAAAGAGAGAGACAGAGACTTTTGAAAGAGATACAGCGATTGGTTGCTTTCCATACATGCCTCCACCGGGAATCGAACCAACAACCTTTAGGTGTACAGGATGATGCTCAACCAGCTGAGCCACTCTGGCCGGGATCACCAGTTTTAGATGCACTTCTGGGTATGTCCAGTTTCCACTGAACAACATTCCACTTGTTTTCTGCCGCCCATGTTACTTTTGAAGCAGGGTTGGTTAGGTAAGTGGAGGCACACCGACACGTGACCTCTCACACTGGCTCTGTCACTGGCCCAGAAGAACACCGGACATGGCCTAACCTCTTCATCACTGACAGCCTCCACTAGGTGACTTTTGTAAAGGTCATTCTATGTGTTTCTGTGTGTGTTGGTGTGTGTGTGTGTGTGTGTGTGTGTGTGTGTGTGCACGACTCTGGTGTCATAGGAAAAGTCTAGGATTCATACCACTTTAAAAATATTTCACATATTTGTTCCACATATTTCCCCTTGAGGGTGGAAATTATAAAATATTAACAAACATAAGAGATCAGTCCAAGAAAAAGGAAAGATTTCAATGAGTCCACCTGCACCATGGCTTCCTGGGTATGTGAACCTGAGCACCGTACTTGAAATGAGCAGGATCATTTGTGCTTCAAGGTTGGTCCCACCTAGGGAAGGTTTAGGATTGTGGACTGCGGCAGACAGACCAGAGTGGGATCCTGCTTCCAAAATGTTTACCACGTGCCC